GATTTCTAACTTTCCTAAGATAGCCAAAAGTCTTCGAAGGTTTCAGGTTTGTCGTCTCCAGCTATAAGCTCCTCTTCGGCACCTGGCATGACACGCCGTGAGCTTTGAATGCCCAGTAAACACACACACCCCATCCCTGTTTCCCAGTCCAATACACAAACACAAATATAACATCAAATAGTAAGGCATGATACTCAACCAAATAAACAAAGGGTTACAAGTTAGATGTTAGTAAACTAGAAATCCCCCAAAGAGATTTCGTCCTCCCAACCACAAGAATTGGACACCAGACTATTCGGAACTCCCCCTTTTGCTGCTTTGTTGCAGAACTAACCTCGGATGCCTACCAACGGTTATATACCGCGTAGCGCCAACCGCAGGGCCTCAAAAGGGATAGCGAAAAGAAAAAGTTTTATCTCCTGAATCCAACCTCATCCTTCTTAGTAAACTAGAAATCCCCCAAAGAGATTTCGTCCTCCCAACCACAAGAATTGGACACCAGACTATTCGGAACTCCCCCTTTTGCTGCTTTGTTGCAGAACTAACCTCGGATGCCTACCAACGGTTATATACCGCGTAGCGCCAACCGCAGGGCCTCAAAAGAGACGGTAAAAATAGGGCCTTGCCCGAATCCCTCCTTACACCAAACCACCTAGGGTCCGAATACAACCGCTCCGTTCAAGGGTTTCGAAAACCACTTGCGCAAGACTTTAACTTCAAATAAGGAACGCATCCCAACAATCCATATGACACATATTCTCATCTTTTCATTTCTCAAGTGCTCGAAAACCCAATACCCTCCCAATTAGGTTTCCCGTTGAAGTTAAATGTTTTACATCAAGGTTAGACAACTTAACAAGATAAAATATCCACACAAGCATGCATCAATAAGGTAAAGAAGTTGAAGAACATAACATAACACATACAATATCATGCCAAGATATGATCATAATCAATTAAACATTTTTATGAATACAAAGGTATAAAACATTCATGCATAACAAAATTTCCAGTTTTAATATCACATAAAGATTAAAATGAAAGGACTATTTCAGATCCCTCACCGGACTCGGTCTTCCTATAGTTCGTAGAGAATTTGATCTAGTTTCTAGAACATTTTTCAGAAATGGGATTGCTTTTCCAGATTTTAAGTTATTTAGGAAATACTCCAGCGCTGTCCAGAATCTGTCCAGATCCGTCGACCGTTACGAAAATTTGATTTTCTTGCAAACCACTTGATGTTTTTCGATGAAACTAATTTTAGTTGAAAGCTAACATCTTGAGGAAGGTTTTGATATAAAATAGAGGTCCAGAATAATTTTGTACATTTTTCTAGAATTTCTGGAAGTGGGCTGCAAAAACAGATTCTAAGGTGGAATGTCCAAAACAAGAAAAAAGGGTTCCTCCGAGGGAAAGTTTTCGTTTATTTTGTGAAGAAAACATGCTAACTAACATATATTTAACTCAGAAAGTTTTCTTGAAAGAGTGCCCTTGGAAAGTTGAGAGATTGGTATAAAAAGAGATGGTTTTGTGCCAAAATGGAGGAAATACAAGAGAGATGGAATCAATACTCAACCCTTAGCATTTTTAACACAAGTAACTCATCAATAACAGATCTAAAAACATTATTTAGCATCCTTAGAACATGTATTTGAAAAAGGAAAATGAAAGAGAAGGTTGTGTTGTGGCTTACCTACAAAGCTTTGCACAAGAAGCTCGCTTCTTCCTCCTTCTTCTCCTCTAGACTTCTCTTTCTTGCTCTCCTCCCTCTCTCTAACCTAATGTGTGTATGTGGGTGTGTGTTTGTGCTTTGCCAAGCTAGGGGAGGTTGATATTTATAGACAATTCATGATGTAAAATGTCCTAAAAGCCCACTAGTTGAAAATGGATGGAAACAGTTTAGGATTTGTTTGAATTCTAAAGGAATATAAGGAATTTGGGAGGCTTGCTCATTGGTTTAGGAAACACTTAGTTGTAATGAAACTAGTTTTTGAAATTAGCAATCTAGGTCTAGGTCACTAGGTTGGTGTTTTCTAGAATTTCATGATGGTGGTTCTTGGAAATTGGTTTCTCACTTTCTTCTAGGAAGGCTAGCCATAGGGAAGGGTGAAGTGGCTATTTTTTATTTATTTATTCTTTTTTATCAATTTAGGTAGTAGGGGCACACTTCTCAATGTATATATATATATATAGATTTCAATTGATTGATGGTACTAATAGTACTATTTTTTTTTTGGGGGTAATTCTTGAAATTAATAAAAGAAATGAGGGCTTGGAATTAAACTCATGTATTGGAACCTTATTTATGTATTTACTTATGATCTAGTTAGGGTTAGGGCTAATTTAAATACTCATAGCAAATCTTTATTGGTACCAAAGTCATTATTGTTTTAAGATTCAAGGGATTTGTTTGTACTAAAGTATAATGATGATGGCTAGTCATGTCCTCGAGATTTGGGGAGATTTCCCTATTTATTTTGTGTACAAATATTGGAAATTGTAAAACATAATGTTAAAAAAAGATTTTAGGGTACAAGTGTATATATAAATATATAATGGTACTTTGTTTGAGGTCAATTTATGATTTAATAAAAATGTGAGGGCTTGGGCTCAATTAAAATATCTATTCCAAGTGAAGAGTTAATAAATTAGTGTTTTGGAAAAATAATTCGGTTTGTATTATCTTGTTTTGAATTTAAAGGTAAATAACTGAATGAAGACTGTAAAAATCGGAAGTTAGGGTTTAGAGCAATTAATCTAAAATTTGAGAGTTAAATAATTAATATTAGAGTGTTATAAATGATTTCTAAGCTTCCAGGGTCGATTAGGGTTTGTATGGTTTCGTCCGTGATGCGTTTTCGACTCTAGGGTTTAATTTGCGAGCAATCAACGAATTAAGGGCCTTGTTATAGTAACTCAAAATTTTGGGACCTAATAAGGTTTACAAAAGTTAGGGGTCTTACAGCCTTCGTCATAATCTCCTTCCTCAAATCACCACCAGCAGGAACACAAATTCGGCTACGGAATCTAAGCAACCCATCATCACTAACCACAAAGTCTATATGCTTACCCTCTGCCATCTCTCCTTTAATACACTCATACTGGGGGTCAATCTCCTGAGCTAAACGAATCTGTTCTCTCAAGGTTGGCTGAACTGTCAATTGACTACAATAAGCCCTATTACCAGGCTTAATAACCTCAAGCCTCAAACGTCTCATGTCTTCCACAAAATAACTCTTAATACACAAAACAGCTACATCTCCAATTGAGACCTTCCTACTCAAGGCATTTGCCACCACATTTCCTTCCTCGGATGATACAAAATATTCACATCAAAATCTTTTAACAACTCAAGCCATCTTCTTTGCCTCAAATTTAGTTCCTTATGTGTGAAAATATACTTCAAACTCCTATGATCAGTGTAAATCTCACATGACTCTCCATACAAATAATGTCGCCAGATCTTAAGAGCGAAAATCACTGTTGCTAACTCCAAGTCGTGCGTAGGATAATTTCTCTCATGTATTTTCAACTATCGTGACGCATAAACAATCGCCTTCCCATGTTGTAGGAGCACACATCCTAAACCCTATCGTGAAACATCACTATAAATCACAAAACTACCACCACCTGTAAGTAAGACAAGGATTGGATCTGATATCAACCTTTGTTTAAACTCTTGGAAGCTACACTCACAATCATCATTCCACTCAAACTTTACGTCTTTCCTAGTGAGATTTATAAATGGCAAAGCAATACAGGAGAATCCTTCCACAAACTGTCTATAATATCCAGCAAGCCTTGGAAAGCTACGTACCTCTGTCACAGAAGTAGGTCACGACCAATCAATAATTGCTACCACCTTCGTGCTATTCACAAATACCCCATCTTTACTTACCACATGACCCGAAAAGGATACAATGCTCAACCAAAATTCACATTTTTTAAATTTTGCATACAGCCTCTTCTCCTTAAGGATCTAAAATATTATCCTCAAATACTGCTCATGCTTCTCTTTACTCCTCGAATAAATTAGGATGTCATCAATAAACACTACCACAAATTTTATCCAGTTGAGGTTTAAATACTCTGTTCATTAAATCCATGAATGCGGCCGGTGCATTTGTGAGACCAAAAGGCATTACCAAGAACTCATAATGCCCATAACGGAATCTAAAAGCTGTCTTAGGAACATCCTCATCCCTTACTTTCAACTGGTGATAGCCTAACCTCAAGTCAATCTTAGAGAATACTTGAACTCCCTACAATTGGTCAAATAAGTCAACAATACGTGGCAAAGGATACATATTCTTCACTATGACTTTGTTCGGTTCTCAACAATCAATACACAACCTCATAAACCCGCAATTCTTCTTCACATACAACACAGACCCTAGGTGAAACACTAGGCTTAATAAAACATTTCTCTAACAACTTCTATAACTAAGTTTGAAACTCCCTCAACTCCAATGGTGCCATTATATAGGGAACTTTAGAAATAAGTGTTGTGTTGGGGACCAAGTTAATGGAAAATTCTACCTCGCGATCTAGAGGAAGTCCAGGTAGATCCTTTGGAAAAACATCAACACAAACACTCACAACAGGCAACTCCTCTAACTTCTATTCTGGCAGTTCAATACTCACCACACAAGCTAAATAATCATGACACCCTTTACTTAACATTTGATTAGCCTAAAAGGAAGAAGTAAAACAGATAGAAGACCCTTTCCTATCCCCCTGAAAGAAAAACTCAAGTTGCCTTGGCATAGCAAAAACTAACCTCTTTCTAAACCAATCAACAGAGGTGTGATGTTTCGTCAACAAATCCATACTCAAAATCACATTAAAATCCTTCATCTCTAAAGAAATCAAATCCACTAAAAAAATTCAACCATCCAAGTTTACCACACAAGAACTAGAGATATCTCCCAATACAGTATCGTTTGTCCTGTAAATAGTTATTATTAAGGACCTTCAAAAAAAAAAAAAAATCCAAAAAGAGCAATGCAAAACTCGTGCACCGCAGGTGCCTTTACCCCACTTATCTTCAGTCCCGCCATTTGATTGATTTGATCAGAGCACCTCCATCTTCTTAGCCAAAACAAACTGTATAAACCCCCATGGCCACAGCTCTCTCCCTTACCGCCATTTCCAACTTCCTCACCCCCTTCAATCCCCCAAACCCTAACCCTAACCCTACCCTTCTCAAATCCCGAACCCTTACTCTCACTCGCTCGTCCCTCACTGACCAATCTCTCTCCGCCAAACAAAACCTCCTCGACCTCATCTCGGACCAGGACCGAGGCCTCAAGACCCAGACCGACCCTTCAAAGCTTTCCGAGATTATCAAAGTCATCGATTCCATGGCCGTGCTGGGCACTGATAAAGTCACCACCGGTCCCTCGCTGTCCGCCACGTGGAGGCTGCTGTGGACAACGGAGAAAGAACAGCTCTTCATCATCAAGAACGCGTTTCTTTTCGGAACTCGAGCCGGAGATGTTTTACAGGTTATTGATGTGGAGAAGGGTGTTCTGAACAATGTAATTACTTTTCCTCCTCATGGGGTTTTCTTTGTGAGGTCTACTATCGAAATTGCTTCGCCTCAGAGAGTCAATTTTAGGTATTTTTTTCCATAATTTTTATGTGTCGCTATTGCGATCATGTGCAATTGCATTACTCTGTTTGTGGTTCAAATACAGTTTTTGATTTTTGTTCTTTGTGTGTGTGTGTGTTTTTAATTTTTTTTTTTTAAAAAAAAATATTATTTAATGAGCCTTTTTAAATATTTCAATCCACTTATATACTTAAAAGCTAGGACAGGGCATTTGGCCAGTGGTCCATGAGAAGGTTAGAGGTTTTGGGTTTGAGCGACTGCGACCCTTAATTTAACTTACTAACTCCCCAACATCTTATCGCATGGCAAGGAAATAAATTTAAAAGATACGCGAAACATTGTACATTTTTTTTGTTTGTGTTTATTGAATTTAAAAAAAATTTGTTCACAAATATGTATTTTTTAAAGTACATCTAGATGCATCCGTGTAGTAAAAAAAATGACTACAATATGAAAAAAAAAGTATACTAAAAGATAACAAAATAGGAATAGCAAAAAAAATTTAAAAATTCAAAAACTATATTTGAAAATTCAAAACCAAAAAGAGATATTATCTGAGTAACTTAATAATTTCCGAGTAATTCACGCATTGTTTGCAATTCTTTGAATATATAGTTTTAGCTAACTTGATGAAATAGATCAGAGCATTAGTGGGAATCCTTTAGTATTTTAGTTTATTTTTTCAAGTAGCTATCTTTAGAATTTTGAAACTTGGGTGGTGTATTAATACTGATTGTAATGTGGGTTTCGCAAGTTTTTGTTAACTTGATGAAATAGATCAGAGCGTTAGTGGGAATCCTTTAGTTCTTTAGTTATGTTTTTTCTGGGTAACTATCTTCAGAATTTTGAAACTTGGGTGGTGTATTAATATTGATTGTAATGTGGGTTTTGCAAGGTTTACAAGTGCAGTTCTACGTGGGGAGAGTTGGGAACTTCCGTTACCACCATTTGGGCAGGGGTGGTGAGTGTTTCATTCGTTGTTTTTGATTGACAATTTTTTTTTTTGATCGGCAATTCTTTGTTTTTGATACCAAAGTTACAAACTTAGTTTTGATTATTCATTGGTTTTATTTTGCATTTTTCCTTATTGAATTGTTTTTGTTTGCGGATGTGAGGACCTTTTGTCAATTGCCATGTACTAATATGCTTTTTCTTAATAAATTCCTCTTTTGTAGAAGAGGGGATGGGTTAACACTAGTCCCTTTATATATTTGGTTGATTCTGAACTGAAGAGTCATTTACAATATTGCTAATTTCATTATTTAAGAGAAACAGAAAAAACTGTCTATAAGATTAGTTGGCTGACTAACTAATCCTTATCACTGTCTCACTAACTTAACTAATGTCTTTTTGGCTTTCCACTACACATGTTATGTCTCAGACTCATATTGCATAATCTTTCCATAATAGTCATTCACTAGTTTGTAGTGCACAAATAACCTCACCGGGCTTTCTTTGATGCTCCAATTAAAGGAATTGCTCCCATCTGTGTATTACAACAAGGAGGATCATCACATCTATCATTATTATTTTACTATTGTTGCCTATGAACATTTCTAAGGTGTCTTGTCCTTGCTGACCATGTGTCGAACATTGATACCACTTGATATATTCGACACGTTGGATATACATCCAAACATGCCACATTAATATTTATTTATTTTTTAAGAACCTAACACACTTTGTACACTTGGGGAAAAACATGTCTATTGCTTAGACCAGCATAAAACACATAGCAAGTTTGAAGAACATAACTTGGGATCCGATAATAAAATTTAAAAACAAATGTGGATTTATACCAATTAATTTCTTCTTTGTACTTCTTAATTTTAGGAATTGTAAAGTCTAAAGCTTCAAATTTTTTTATGAATGAACTTTCTTAATTTTAGGATTTATTAGGATTTTTTGTTCACATCTTTTCCAATATTTAGAATGTGAAAAATGGTTTCTTACTATTTGGTTATAATAAAATATAAATATTTGTGATGTTAAAATTAAAAATAGTTATTATTTTCATATATAAAAATTCATATTTATTTGTTGCCGAGTTCCTGCTGTGTTGTGTTCTTATATATACATTTGAAAATTTCCATGTCAATGTGTTTGTATTATGTCGTATCAATGTCAGATGTCTGTATTTGTGCTTCTTATGTTATTGCCATTGATTTAACAGTTTTGTATGATCATGTACACCTAATAAGTAATATGTTGTAATTGTGAGACAATTCCCACATAACTTATGGGCTGGTTTTAGAGTTTTAATCACGTCCTTATTCTAATTATATTTATTCAAATTTATTGGAACACCCTTGACATAGATTTATTCCTTTTTGATTTTAGTGACTTCCAGTTGTCAATGATCGTATGTTGTTGTTCTTGCTCGTTTAACTTTGTGACATTTTGTGTATCTATTTGATCTCCATTTCTGGTTACTTTATGTTGTTACTATTATTTTTCCCCTATGTGATTAGAACCAAGGACATCTTATTTGTATAGGTTTGAGTCTGTATACCTCGATGACGAGATTCGAGTTGTGAAGGACATTCGGGGAGACTATTTAGTTGTGGATCGAGCTCCTTATAGTTGGAAAGAATGAAGGCAAGACTTGTACAATATTGCGTCGATTTTTTTTGGTAAGTTATTATACCCATATTGGAACTTATGCTTTGTTTGCTAGGAGGAAAGATGTGTGGAAGGAGAGTGCAGGGTTGAAAAGGGGAACGGAGAAAGTTTCTGTCATTTTGTAAGGAAGGAAGGTGGTTAGAAAATAGAAAAGAGGACTCGCCACCTTTTTTTTTTTTTTCCTGATAAATAAAAGAGGACTCGCCTTTAAGTGAATGGGAAGGTGGAAAGATAAGAACTTTGTCTTTTCCCATTTTTTCTTTTCAGTATAAAGATTATTTTAAGGGAACATATCAAATAAGGTCTACTTTTAGGGGTACTTACGTGTAGATGCTAATATGTGGACTTAATGTCCAAAATGTCCAATGATAATTAATGCCGTTTTTCATCAAATACTATTAAAAAAAGTTATTAATTGTTAATTTTCAGTGACAGTTTGAAAATTGTCACAAAAAATGTCACTAATTGTAAGTTTTAACGATAGTTTAAAAAAATCGTCACAAAAGTATCACTAATTTTTAACTTTCAGCGACAGTTTGAAAAATTTGTCACAGAAAAACGTCACTAATTGTAAGTTTTAGCGACAATTATAAAAACCGTGTCAAAAAAAAGTCATTAATTGTCAATTTTTAGCGATATATGCAAAAAATCGTCACAAAAAATTATTTTTAGTGACGATTTTATTAGCACTTATTTTCAATAGAACTTGATGGGAATTAAATCCAACTATTAGGACCTATTAGTAGTTTACCCCTACTTTTACCATCAAATTCCCATCTAATTTTATTACGGGCTGATTCATGTGTTAATAGGACTCAATGGAAATTTCATGGGAAAAGTTGGACTTATTGGGGTTTTCCTTCATTTTAATGCATAAGGAACTAGGCCTGTAAATGGATTGAATTTTGATCCAAAGTCAATCTAATTAGACGGAATCATTGGAGGGTACTTATCTAACAACCCAATTAAAACCCATATTCAACAAGTTTGATGATAAATGTTTCTAAGATAAAAAGGGCCGGTCCAATTTGATTTTGATTTGATCTAAAAATTTATATATATCCATTATTTTTGTTGCTGTTGCCCCAAGAATAATGTCGTTGTCAGCAATGATAGGTTGGTTTCAGTGGCTATGGTTTGTACTTCAGGCTCCCACTCTCCCTCTCTGTATTATACATGCACCATTCACTCAGGTATCTGCAGTATACAGTCGCGTTAGCCTTCCTTTCGTTGTGTACCTCTTGTTGTCTGCATTTATCAATTGTCTTCTCTTTCTCTGACCATCTATGTCTCTCTTCTGCTCACTTCATCTCTTCCCCTTTCTGTGTGTTTTTAGTGGACCAAACCAATTGTTCAATAATTAATAACTCCACATTCGGATTAAAAGATGTTTAATCCATCAGATTGTTAGATCAGAGCGGATTGACAATTTTGGTCAAGAAATTATGATTACTGCTGGTTTTGATGACTTCGATTCATTTACAAGCCTTCACCTTATCTTCCATTCTTCGTTCCTCATCCCAAACAAGAAGCTGTTGTGAATTCACTTTGTTGCAAGAGCTAATTTCTCAAAAAATTTATGCTATACTTCCTTATAATCTATATATACTCCCTTGATATTTCCTCATTGATACTGAAACTTTACTATGCTATCCCTTTTGTTGACTTGTACTTTCTGTTTCGAACAAAGGTAATTTTGAGAGCAGCTACCACTAAATGCTTATGTATATGCTTGCTTGTCTAAACATTACACGGGATTAGACCGTTTATGATTGACAATTCATTCTTTTGATGGCGTTGGTCAGTCTCTTGTTTCACTTTTCCACCTTATTGAGTCAGTATTGTATGAATGAGTGATGCAGGGAAGGCTAGATACCTTTGTATGTAAGGCTGAAGTACAAAGAAAACGTGCTGTATTAAGCATATAAAAGAAATGACAGAGTTAGGGTATATGTATTACAATGGTTTTTTACCCTGTGGTTAGGTGATCCACGTAAGTTCTAAACTATATCTTTATTATGAAAAGATGATAAACGAGAAGCAAGACTTTATAGTAAGTGGCATTATGAATTTCCATCAGCTATAAACATCATCTGTTCTAAGCAATGTCTATATTAAATAACATGATAAAAGACAGGCAAAAGAAATGTGAGAGATTATTCGACGAAGATTTCTTTGAGATCCTCACTAGAGCCGACAAAAGAGCTTTACACTCCATTTAGGATGCTAACTTACTGATGCTAGATTTCCTCAAGGACCTACTCTACATGGTTTCTTCCTCATACCCTCAAGTATTTGCATGCATTGGTGGCTCTAGGAATTTTTGTCATTGTAGACGTTTAAAGACTTAAATTTTGCAAATTGTAAAAAAAATCGTAATGATCAATATCCATCATCTATTTCCAAAATCTATTTATTTAAAATTCTCAAATCATAAGTAAAAGAGAATTTAATATATTAATTCTATTGTGACAAAAAGAAAAATGTAGATACATAGATTTTTACAATTGCTCTAGACAAGTTTTTTATATTATAATTTTTTTGAGGTTTTATTTAGTGGGTTGGATAGAACCGTTTTTTAATTGTTTTGGAGTGGGGTTCACTGTACCAAAGGGAGTTAACAATTTTGGTGAACATGACAAGTGGTGACAATTGCTCTAGCCATTCAAGGTGTTCATTTTCTTGCTAGAGGTGACAATTGTGGCAATTAAAACCATCCATTACCTATATATATATATATATGTATTTCAGGATATTCAATCAAGTGAACCCCCTCAACTCTATGCAGTGCCTGCTCAGACAAGCAAGACCAGGTTTTGGGTGTGGGATGTTTGCTTCATGTGGCTGTCACATGAATCTAAAATGGGAGGAAAATATGAAGGGCTACAGAGAGAGAACTAACCTTTTCATGGGATACACCTTCACCAAAGTCCAAACATGAGCTAGAATAGTTCAATTGATGGTCAATTTGTTGCTAAATACAAAAGGAATGCTTACTGTTTGCCCTCTCTAGTATCACTTTGGCAATTGAAAGGCGTCAATGGAAGGCAATTTAGATCTCCTTAAACTTTTATACTTTTCACATACGCCCTCTAGTTTCCCTTTGTTATATTTTTGTTTTCTTGTAACAGATATACAGGTAATTACAAAACATAGCTAGAAATATAATTTTTGACATCTTTCTATTTAGTGTTTTTTGTACCCTAGCCCTTCCTCTTTATTTCCTGTGTGTGTGTGTGTGTAATTGTTTTGTCTTATGGATTGGTTTGGATAATGAGTTATCATCTTATGGAGTTCTTTGGAGGATAGGTGTTTATGTAAGAGGTTGGTGGATTGTAAATTCAGCTCGGAGGTAGGGAGTTGGATTTCTGAGGAAGTTAAGAATTCCTGTGGGGTGGGCTTATGGAAGGGAAATAGGAAAGGATGGTCAGATTTCTCTGGGCTTGTGCATTTTTGTAATAGCAATGGGAGGAGAGAGTAACATTCTGGTAGATGTGTGATATAGGGATATTCCTTTTTCAAAGGCCTTTCCTGAATTGTATAGCATTGAAAGGAACAAAACTGGTTTTGTGTGAGATTATATGATTCCATTCAAAAGCATTTTGAATGGTCAGATTTCTTTGAGTCAGATTAGGATTGTTTGGTGGAACTGTTTTTTTGGCTGAAAGTTGATAATAAAAAAACGGAAGTTAAAACACCTCTCCATCCAACTTCTTGATAATCTACTTATTTAAGCTATTTTTGACTTATAAGCTTGTTTGGCCTAAATTATATTTCCCAAAGATGGGCGTGTCAAGATGAAAAAAATTCACAAACTTAGCCAAAAATAACCATGCATAGTGTTGAATTCTTTTGCCTCAATAAGTGGACTTCAAATTTGTCAAAATTGTAAAGAAAATAAATAGAAACAGTAAGAGAAAGGGATTAGGAACTCGAAATGAGATTGAAATTAGATAATTTACCTTTCATACAATATAGGCTTCAAATCTTTGAAGGTAGTCCTTCAAATTCCTAATTTTTGAAACTACTTCGAATCTGAATTACACCTATTCCTAAGATAGGAAAAAAAATTCCAAGAAGATCAATCAAATCGTGTTATTTTTATTCTGTATTATCTTCTTTATATGCTTCTTTGAGTAATAACCACTTACAACCACTTTGCATAACTGCAACCACTTCGAATAACCTCTTCAAATAACTCTTTGCACTTGCTCAATGTGGTTCCATGTTCTAAAAGCACTCTTTTAAATCAGGCACGTGTGTCAGCCACTTGGCCTCCACTTGAACAACTCTTGGCAATCATCTATTGGGTAGTTCTCATAATACATTTTTGCTGCACAACTGCTTCGAAGGAGCATAGCTTCAAATGAGAAATGGCCTGTTATGGAAATACTACTTCAATTAGTTCCTTTAAAGAGACATCAAGTTCTATTTTAGTAAGCAACTCAAACACTCATTTGTCCCCCACAAATTTTTTTAAGGGTTGATTTATTATATGGCCAACAAAGCAATAAGCAGAAGCATAAGTAGCTTCAGTAAGCTTCACCAAACATGCCCATTATCTGATTCTACCAACAAAAGCATTTTGAACATCAGAGATGATACCATTCAAAACCCTTCTCAATCTCAAGGCTAATGTCTTTGCTAGCAATTTGTAGATGTTCCCTTCTAAACTAATAGGCTGATAGTCCCTCAACTCCATTGCCTCACCTTTCTTCGAAATCAAAGCTACAAATGAAGCATTTAGACTCCTGTCAAAAATTCCAAGCTCTTGGAAGGTCCAAAACAAAGCCATTACATCCTCCTTTACCCCTCCCACCCTGCATGGAGGAAGGTCATAGACATACCATTTGGGCCTAGGGCCCTGTGCCCATTGCACTCCTTCAATGCAACCACCACCATCTCCTCCAAAAAGGATTGTTCCAACCATACCTTGTCTTCCATTGAGATAGAAGAGAAGCTCAATACACCCATCATAGGTTATAGAGATCCTAATAAGAGCTAACCACACCCTTGCAAATGTCCTCCTTTGATCTACCCCTCAATCGGCAAACTTCCGATATAATTTTATCTTTGATGTGCATTGGAAAAATTTTATGTTCTAATAGAAGGGATGCTGTGGAATCTTAGAACCTATGAAGTATGGGTACTTTAATAAACATGCCGTACCCGTACCGGGTACTTATCGGGGTATGGTATTTCATATGGTATTTCATATGGTATTTTTGTATACGTATCGAGTACACGAAACACGTATCCAAATTTTTTCTTCATAATTTTTAACGTACTCAAACATACCTAGTATATACTCAAGCCATACCTACCGTATCTCAGTCGAAACAATATTTTCTTAAACTATAGAGATAACATTCTTTTCACTAGATTTCTTTGTTATTTTTAGTTTTATGCTTAGTCTGATTTTAAAATTAAATTATGATTTGTTAGTTATTTAATATGATAACATTTAATTTTGGTTTATACCTTTACTTTTGGCATTAAATGTTAATTATAGGTTAGATCTTAACAAATTATTCCTTTTAATCAATTTTTGCCTTACTCTAAATTAAAAATAAATATTTTTTTATAAATTTACCAAAGGCGTACCCTTATCTTACTTTTTTTAAATTTTACCGTATCGACGTACATGTATCGTACCAGTGCCAATACTCGTATCAGTACTCGTACACGTACTCGTACCCGTACCCGTGCTTCATAGTTTAGAACTCAGCATGCTCTATGTGAATTGATTATTTATCCAAACGTTTGTCATTTCTTTTTTTTTCATGGTAATGCTTTTTTCTTGTTGAAATTTCTTTTTTTTCATGGTAATTAATTATTTTTTCTTGTTGAAATTGAGCTTACTCCATTATTTTTGATTGGCTGGCTTGAATTAATTCTCTAATCCAGCTCTCTCCCCTCCCATTAGAGAACTTTTCCCTATAAACATTAATTAATTGTTCTTTTTACATTGGCGTCACAATTTATTTCTTTCTTTCTTGGGATAAGCTAAATATCTTGTTGGGTTACTTGTTTTAAAACAATGGTTAACATGGTTTAAAAGGTCTTCAATATATTGGCATGTCTACTTTTCCCACTGAATTATGATAATTGTGAAGTGTAATACATCTACAGGTTCAAATCTGTATACCTAGATGATGATATTCGAGTTGCAAAAGATATCCGTGGAGATTATTTAGTTGTTGATCACGCGCCTTACGAATGGACAGAATGAGGTACTTTTAATTTGTATTAAGTTTACCCCTCTTTCATGTTTCCTCCTTATTATCTTTGTTCATTTCTGTCATTAATGTTGGTAAATTTGTTGAAGTGCGTAGTTTTCTCAGTTGGAGTTCCTTGAACTCAAGACTTTGCCCTTTAACGCTGATTTCCTTTCCTTGGAACTCAGGTTTCATTCAGATGGCACTTTTAACTCCTTGTAATTAATCATGGAACTTCATGGTTGGAAAGGGTTACTCTGTCGTGTAGATATTGTGTCTCTTCTCTGTATAGTTCATCAGAATATTGATTTTAAGCTCTCGTCATTTGTATATTGTCAACTTTTACTTAAGATCTGCTTTCACAGGTATATGTTCTTCAGTAACTAAGAGTGCATATATTCTTGGAAATAGTAGCACAAGGTAATGATTCTGGGGTGTGTATTGTTTATTTGTTCGTTCATTCATTTGTTTGTTCGATCCTTCTTCTGTGGGATATCATCACCCCATGTGAGGGGTGATCCTCCATGTGTTGCAAGGTTGGCCATGTTAGGAAGCCAACACACATGAACTGGCCATGTGAAGCCAGCACACAAGATAGCTGGCCATATGCAAGGCCAGCCTCTCCATCTCCATGGCCAGCCTCTCCATCTCCATTCTGATTGAGTATAAATGGAGGCTAAGGGGAGGGTTTGAGTGAGCAGAGCAAGCCACAGAGAGTGAGATATGTGAGGCGGAGAGACCGTCTCCCTCGGTGTGAGCGAGGGAGACGGGTGAGTGTGTGAGTGAGGAGAGTGTGAGCTCCTCCTCTATTGTAATCTTTCTGTAATATCTCCATTGTTATAGTGATAACCGGCTACTCTCCCGTGGACGTAGGCATTGAGGCTGAACCACGTTAAATATTGTGTCTCCTTGAGTGTGGGTGTGTTTTTCTGCATGGAATAATTTCTATAAGGTCTTGGGCGGGATCCCAGATCCTAACAAGTGGTATCAGAGCCTCGTTGGTGGCGTTTCGGAACAAAAACAGCGTGTTTTTTGAAACTGCCCAGAAATCAAGTTGCTCGAAATCAGGTTTTGAGCACACCAGGAGCAAGGGCTCGAGAAGAGGAGTCCAGAAATATAAAGCAGACAACCAACGGAGGCCGGATGCGCCCTCACGCGCCCCTAGAAGTTGGCGCGTGAATCCCAGTCTCGCCACGCACCACCACGCGCCGTTCAGGCAACCGGCGCGTGGTCCCAGTCTCACCCACGCGCCCCACGCGCGGCGCAAGGAAGACGACGACTGAGGGAATAGCGCGTGCCATACACGCGCCATCAACACGCGCGCCACGTCATCTCGCCACGTCATCACCACGTGGCACAGTTGTCAGCCATGGGGCTGCCACGTGGTCGCCACGTCATCGTCCAAACATCGAACATTGTCTGCTACAACGGTCCGACATGACCCCATAAACTGTCTCAACGGTCCGACATGACCCCATATACAGTCTTCTACAACGGTCTGACACGACCATACAGTGTCTCCTATCCTCTTTTATTTTATGTATTCGTCTATTTTCTTGTTTTGTTAGTCTCTCCAAACTCAAGTTGGTTAGTTCCTATCCCCCTTGAGTTTGCGGGGGGCTGTTAAAATGTACCAAAAACCTACCACTACACCTACTCCACCCACCTACTCTCCACCTACTCCTCACCTACTCCTCACCTACTACACACTCACCCTCTTCTATATATAGGAATCATGAATCATTGTAATTTATATCAATATAACAACATATCAATCAATAATACATAAATTCTTTACAGTAAGCTTCACCAAACATGCCCATTATCTGATTCTACCAACAAAAGCATTTTGAACATCAGAGATGATACCATTCAAAACCCTTCTCAATCTCAAGGCTAATGTCTTTGCTAGCAATTTGTAGATGTTCCCTTCTAAACTAATAGGCTGATAGTCCCTCAACTCCATTGCCTCACCTTTCTTCGAAATCAAAGCTACAAATGAAGCATTTAGACTCCTGTCAAAAATTCCAAGCTCTTGGAAGGTCCAAAACAAAGCCATTACATCCTCCTTTACCCCTCCCACCCTGCATGGAGGAAGGTCATAGACATACCATTTGGGCCTAGGGCCCTGTGCCCATTGCACTCCTTCAATGCAACCACCACCATCTCCTCCAAAAAGGATTGTTCCAACCATACCTTGTCTTCCATTGAGATAGAAGAGAAGCTCAATACACCCATCATAGGTTATAGAGATCCTAATAAGAGCTAACCACACCCTTGCAAATGTCCTCCTTTGATCTCTACCCCTCAATCGGCAAACTTCCGATATAATTTTATCTTTGATGTGCATTGGAAAAATTTTATGTTCTAATAGAAGGGATGCTGTGGAATCTTAGAACCTATGAAGTATGGGTACTTTAATAAACATGCCGTACCCGTACCGGGTACTTATCGGGGTATGGTATTTCATATGGTATTTTACTTTTGGCATTAAATGTTAATTATAGGTTAGATCTTAACAAATTATTCCTTTTAATCAATTTTTGCCTTACTCTAAATTAAAAATAAATATTTTTTTATAAATTTACCAAAGGCGTACCCTTATCTTACTTTTTTTAAATTTTACCGTATCGACGTACATGTATCGTACCAGTGCCAATACTCGTATCAGTACTCGTACACGTACTCGTACCCGTACCCGTGCTTCATAGCTTAGAACTCAGCATGCTCTATGTGAATTGATTATTTATCCAAACGTTTGTCATTTCTTTTTTTTTCATGGTAATGCTTTTTTCTTGTTGAAATTTCTTTTTTTTCATGGTAATTAATTATTTTTTCTTGTTGAAATTGAGCTTACTCCATTATTTTTGATTGGCTGGCTTGAATTAATTCTCTAATCCAGCTCTCTCCCCTCCCATTAGAGAACTTTTCCCTATAAACATTAATTAATTGTTCTTTTTACATTGGCGTCACAATTTATTTCTTTGTTTCTTGGGATAAGCTAAATATCTTGTTGGGTTACTTGTTTTAAAACAATGGTTAACATGGTTTAAAAGGTCTTCAATATATTGGCATGTCTACTTTTCCCACTGAATTATGATAATTGTGAAGTGTAATACATCTACAGGTTCAAATCTGTATACCTAGATGATGATATTCGAGTTGCAAAAGATATCCGTGGAGATTATTTAGTTGTTGATCACGCGCCTTACGAATGGACAGAATGAGGTACTTTTAATTTGTATTAAGTTTACCCCTCTTTCATGTTTCCTCCTTATTATCTTTGTTCATTTCTGTCATTAATGTTGGTAAATTTGTTGAAGTGCGTAGTTTTCTCAGTTGGAGTTCCTTGAACTCAAGACTTTGCCCTTTAACGCTGATTTCCTTTCCTTGGAACTCAGGTTTCATTCAGATGGCACTTTTAACTCCTTGTAATTAATCATGGAACTTCATGGTTGGAAAGGGTTACTCTGTCGTGTAGATATTGTGTCTCTTCTCTGTATAGTTCATCAGAATATTGATTTTAAGCTCTCGTCATTTGTATATTGTCAACTTTTACTTAAGATCTGCTTTCACAGGTATATGTTCTTTAGTAACTAAGAGTGCATATATTCTTGGAAATAGTAGCACAAGGTAATGATTCTGGGGTGTGTATTGTTTATTTGTTCGTTCATTCATTTGTTTGTTCGATCCTTCTTCTTCTTTGTTATAGTCATAATTATATTAATTATTTAGGATTTTATTTTGTTTATTAGTTAGAGTCATCTAGTAATTAGGATTAATAAGTTGTCAATCAATTAAAAACTTCATTGGATATTTTTCTGAATTAACTTATGTGAAGTTATGGAGGTGTGGCTCTCCTTGAATTGAACCTACTGGAGGTCCAACCCCTCGAAGTGGGACTTTTCTCCCCTTTATTCTATTTTTATTTTGTTTCTACAAAAAAGTTTCATATCATTCTTCTTCTTCGTTGGTTCATTTGTTCATTTCTTCTTCTTCTTCTTCTTCTTGTTGCTGCTGCTGAATATTTAACTCCTTTGCATGCTGTTTTTGTGGAGATAAGCCGGCTTAGGTGCCTCATTAATCTTGTGTTATGCTTGTATATCATTTAAAATTGCCCGGAAATGTCATAACTATAATTCTTTCGCATCTGAAAATTTTAAAAAGATGGTTTTTTGGATTCATCATTTCTTTATCCCATGGCATCTTAGTGTTATATCTCTTGCTGGATGCCTCTTGGCAAGTTAATTGCCTAACTTGTTGGTACCTGATGATTTTGATCTATGTCTAACTACTAATCTTGGTACCTGATGATTTTGATAATTTCTTTAAGGTCTTTTTTCATCTCGCTCTCGGACTGTCTGAATACTATTCTTTCAATCTGTATGTGTGTTAATGTATTAGAGTTGTGCCTTCTCTTGTTCTGGAAGGAATTGTTTAGTTGCACATAAATCTCAGAAAAATAAAATAACCAAATTAAGCATTGGCTTAGGGTTGATCATCATGATTTGGGAAGGTTCGTGTTGTGAAGTTCTAGTGGTGAAGTCTAGTTTATGTTTCCTCTTCCTAGGTTCAATGTCATTCTTTGCTAGCTAATTGCTTGCTAAGCAATCCCTGAGAAAAGGGTTGAACACCACAACTTGTTCCGTTTTTGGAAGAGGAACAAAACTGTCAGGCTAGATGTTGGAGGACCATTTAAGCTGTGACTTCCTCTTCCTGCTCAACCTTCCTCATTTGACTCTTTATTTACTGAAAGCATTAGATCTAGTTATTTACCAGTTTGCTGTGTTCTTCTAGAGATGGACTAAGTTCCTTTTCTTCTCCTTATTCTTACGTTGCGTTTGGATTTTGGATTTGTGGATAGAAAAGGAAGGGAAATGATTTCACTTAAGAAGAATAAATGCACAAGAATTGTAAATTACACACACAACAAGACTACGAAATTGACGGGATTCACCTTTAAACTAGAAGGTCATTGGAGTTCTACGATCAGAAAAAGCTACAAGCTACATATATAGCCGTCCTTGCTTAACCACACATACATATAGAAATAGGGGTAACATAGCACTAGTGCAAAAATACCCTCACTACATACTAGAATTTGCAATACCCCAACAAACACAACCTTATTTCAGATCAAAGAATGTATATTAAAAAAAATGAAGAAAAATGATTTGGGACCACTACACAGGGATTCTCAATTGTTTTATATTTGCCTTTGTTGACTGATGCAAAGCAAGTCAAAAAAAATTTAAGGGGGAGGAGGGGACTGGGGTTTTGATGGAGGACTGATTATACATTTAACTCTGTATCAAACCATCACCATCTAATTTTTTTCAGACCTTGTGATGCAGTCACAGCTATTGCATTATTTCTTTGCATCTGTCAGTGCAAGTTTACAATTTACAAGGAAGCCTAGAGGAGTGCTGAATGTGGTTGTGTTAACTTGCATGTTATTGTGTGCTTTGGGTCCAGCGGAACAAGCTCTTTATGTTGTACAGACCCAGCATGCTAAGCATTATGCCTCATCCGCAAGGGATTGGCTACAATTGGAAAGTCGAGGGAGGCTAGACATCTACATTCTCTTTATGAGTTTCAACATGACTAACTATAAAGAGTCTTGTTGAAGTATATACTAGTTAATGTGATAAGTCAAAATTAAAAAGTATATTTTTTGTGTGCTTTTATTTGTAAAATGCTTTTAAGAGGGGTTCATACTGTAAGGCCTTGGTTGGGCCTATCTCGGGTCTATTTTGATAATTCGAACCGTTCATCTGGTTAAACTCATTGACGAGATCACTTTCCTACAAAAAAATTAAATTGATTAATGGATGCCCTATTATCAAAATTATGTTTGATGTTCATTTAAAAAAAAAAAATGAGATATGGTCTTCTGGTTATGAATGATTGATTAACTTGATGTATTTATTATTTTCTTATGAATAATTTGTATGACGGGCTTTTAACCATTCATATCAGTGAAGTAGGCCGAGGGTGAGTCCACCCAGCCATGATAGAAGCTTCTTGTGCTTTATGGGCGCAACAGGGATTCCAAGTTATTAAAAAATTTCTTCCATTCAACTATTTCACATGTCATATCATATATATATATATATATCACATATATATATTCTTAAAAGTAATATTTTTCTTATGTTTAGGCGGCATATTATAAGGGTTTATTTTTTTGAAGAGAGTTACGTTGGCATATATTTTCTTAATTACATAGAGTTTTATACAAATTCAAACATAATTTGAATTATACTAACTTTACGTATTTTATATAGATTTTATTTGATAAATATTTTTATTCTATATATTTTTATAGTAAATTGAGATAATTCACAAAATTTGCGTTTCATGTTTTTTTTTTTTAAAATTTTTTTCAAGGGTATTAGGATTTTTTTTTATTGCTAAATTGTTTTATTTATTTATTTATTTTTAATCTAATACCAATTATATTATGGATTTATTATTTAAATTTTGTAGTGATTCTATATATGAAATTATATTTCATTTCTTACATTATTTTATATAATCAAAACTCATAGGAAGAAAAAACTTCTATAAAGGAACTTCAAAAGTTTAGATTTACTGCTTGAGTTACTTTTTCAATTGTTAAACAGTAAGTTTTTTATGTTTTGACATTATACTACAGATAATTAATCACTTCATACACTGAAATGTATCTATCTTTTTTGGTTAGTCGTTGAATTTCTTTTATATAGTTGATATTTTAATTTAAGGATAAATTACAAATATATCTTTGAGGTTTGCTTAAAATATAAATTGTTCTCTGTAGTTTGAAAAATTACAAATACCTTTTGTTAGAATTTTTTATTTAACATAATCAACTAAAAAAATAAAATTTATAATTACTCTCTTATACAATAATAAAATTACCTAAATTATTAATTGAAACATATTTTTAACATCATTAAAAAATTTTAATTGACTTGATGATTTATTAATAAATAGGGCGATTTGTTATGAAATTAGAAACTTTAGGGGGTGGAATGTAATTTTTAAAATTACATGGAGCGATTCGTATTTTAATTAAATCTTAGGGAGTGTATTTGTAATTTATCCTTAATTAAATTAAGAGTATTTATTTTACAATCTTGTAATTTAATATATATATATATATGTCATAAAATTATTATATGATAATTCAATTACAACATATTTATATTTAATTTTTTGAATAAATTTTATATAATTTTTATTTCCACATATTTTTATTTTCCTAATGAATACAAAAGAAAATTAAATAGCTGGAATTACTTTTAATTTTATGTTGTTGATTCTTCTTTTAATTTAACTATTATTTTTAATATCAAAATGAGTATTTATTTTACTATTTTATAATTTAATACATATCATACAAAATTATTATATGATAATTACACTTTTATAATACAATAGAATTAAAATTATGAAAATACACAAATATTTTAACTAAAATTCATATATATATATATATATAAGTATTTAAGTAACAATTTTATAAAACGATAACGCTAATATTATCAAAATAAATAATTAAAATCATATATTGTAATTATTCTTTTATAACACATATCGTACCATCAAATTTTTTTTTTTTTTTAACACATGTATATAAAAATTTAAACAAAAATAATATTTAGAATAAAATGTTAATGGTATTTTTAAATTTATGAGAACAATAGTGATTGTTTTATTGAAAATGAAATGACTATAACAAATTATATTTTTATGTATGAAAATTTTGTGAAAAAATAACAATATAAAGGTAATATCCATCATTATTGACATGCAAATATAATTAATCTCACTATATATATGTAAAAGTTATTAGAGTGTTTGTTATATTTGCATGTGAAGTTCACCCTTCATATGTTGTTTTTCTATTAGTTGGTGATTTTATATGTCAATGATGATGTAATATCACTATTATATGAAATTTTTACTTAAATTTTGAAAAAATTTAATTTATCTTACCATTATATAATTTATTTTAAGAC